GAAAAATTGTTGTCCATGATAACTCACTTTAATCTTGTCAGTGTCCATGGGGGTGTTTGCAATGAGAATACGTGCATTCTCCACCCTCTTGGGCTGGTTGACTCCGATCTTCTTGTCCAGCAGAAAGCCAGGCTCTAGGTAGGAGTCGCTCATGTTACCTCCCAGCTTCTTGATGATCTGGATGGCCTGAAGGTCCGTTTTGCCCTGAAAAGAAAAAAAAATTAGACTTTGAAGAATAAAATGAGTATCAGTCAAGAAAAAGAGCTTTTCAGAAATGGCAACTTCCTGAAATTAACAACAAAAAAGGACGAAAACTCCCAAAACTGCTTTCCTCCACTAACATCTGGCTGTGACCTTGAACACCTTCACACAGCCGTAGCCACTTTTGCACAGCTCTTTCACATGAGCCTCAAAATTCCTACCCTGAGAACCTAATGGCAGGTTCTTTGAAACTTAGTGTCCTTCAAAACTTAAACCACGTGTTATAGCAGCAGGTCTGGGCTTTCCTCACTCTACAGAAATCTTCCCAAACTAAAAATACTCATGGATTTTGAAGGCCTTGAGAAGGTTAGTTTAATCAAAATATTTGACTAATTTTCAGCCAATACACCAAAAATTTTACTACATAATTTTCCACAGCATTAGTAGTAACATTTGTGTATTCCAACCATTTTCACAGGTCACATTTTTGAAGATGACTGGCATATAAAAATCTCTGAAGTTATTGAAGGATTGTAGCAAGACTCCTACCAAAGCCCCACGATGTCTTTGCCTGACAGCATTGTATTGTTTACCTTCAGTCTAAGCACAGCATCGACAGCTAGGTTGGCAAACATCTCTCGGCCCTGCTGAACAATCTTGGAGCTGAGTGTCGTCATGGCAATGTTGAAGAGATCCTTGCGAAACTTCTCCTGATCGGCACTAAAATTACAAACAAGCAACAAAACCTCTAGGGTTTGAAAAGAAAAGCACAGGGTAACTGGACTCGGGGATAAGTGGCATTTGAATACAAGATCTGAAGCGTTGGTGAGGTGTAAACATTTTTATCACTTTCTACACAACATCCTTATTCAAAGTTACCCAGACTTCCAACATTCTATGGGTCTAAGAAAGTCTGAAATTATTCAGGCATGTGGTCACAGACAGAACAAGAAGGTACACGTAAATTCTTAGAATAACTGGTCAACGGAAAACAGCTTCATGCAAACTGGAACCTTTGAAACGCCGGAGATAAGACCATTATCCCGACCATGTCTAGTTCAAGAGAGACGTACTTATCTCTGCAATGAAGGGAGTTTGAGGTTACTATGCTCCATATGTGCACATGCAGTCTTGTACCTGTTATCCATAGCAGCTTCAGCCAGTGCCTTGTCTGCAGCCACCACAGCCTTCCGCCAGCCAGCTATGATAGTCTGTGGGTGCAGCTTCTGTCCAACCAGGGTCTCTGCTTCCTGTGACAAACGAGAAGCAAAGAATTTCCTGATCACCAACTGGCGCCACAACTTTCACTGACCTTTCCAGACTAACACGACACATGCTGCAAGGGCTGAGATCTCATTATTGAAACGTTCACTAAAAATCACTGAAGTAGCCAACTGAAAAACTTAGCATGACCTGTCAAGCAATCCTGGTAAGTGTTCAAAATTGACAAGCAGGATGACGCAATGTAATGATCAACAGGCTGCAATGATTTGTATTACTGAATGTTCAGTGTATCAATCAAAATGTGGTGTTAAAATCTGGCTCCTCAGTTTTGACACTTTAAGCATGTTTATTTCATTAACATAAGCATATATACCATTAGAACTTGAGTATTATTATTTTGTAGCACTTTAACCCTAACCTTCCCCAACCACACACAATTAAACAGTAATAAAGTGTTTAATTCTGTGAGGATTGGTCTGGTAGGCCCATAACAGCCGGCTTTTGCATTGGGTTTGGCATACCTCAGCAAAACAAAGTCCAACAGCCTCTGTGCACAAAGTCCCATATGGGTGTTTAACTTTGTGTGAATGGGGAAGGTTAGTTCCAGCAACCCTTGGGCAGTTAGGGTTTAGGAACTTGCTCTTAATAGACTTTTCACAACAAATGATCAGATCTGTTGTCAAAAGATGATATGAGATTATTTTTTAGGAGAGGAGAGGCAAAGAAGAGAGTAACAAGGGGGGTAATTGAATCAGTTTAAAGGCATTAGGCAATTTGATTTCATGTAGACCATTACAGTCATCCCTTGTCTTAGAGTCCCGATGTGAGGTGCTTCACAAAGCTTTGACAGCAGCTGGAACAACTATAAGTGCTTGGGCAATCTCTACTGATGATGAGGCCAATTCCAAACTATGGAGCCTACTAATAGGGGAATGTAGAAATGACAGGAGTGTGTCGATCGTTACTGTATCTCAACAGGATAACTTTGACGACTTTGACGACAGATTTTGTTGGCTGTTCTTGAAACTATAAAAAACCTGGGATAAAAAGGAACCTTTTGCCTTTAATAACACTAACTTACCCTCAGCAGTTCACATGCCAGCACCGTCACCGATGTTGTGCCGTCACCAACTTCGTCATCCTGCACTTTGCTGATTTCTAACGACAAGTAAATGTTGAAAAGTTGACGACAGGCCTTCCTACATGTACATTAATAACTGTAACCATGCTTCTTAAACTCAAACTGTGGGTTTTGTCAGGTTTTCGCTGGGTCAGTACGATAAGTTGCGATCATGTTGTTCAACTTGAGAGTGCCAGCCTATGATGACTTCATTACTGAACAACGCATTCTCTCATTCACCAACGGAGTGCACTTTAACCTTAACAGTCCCGAATGCTACAAAGTACTACTTAGTAGTAAAATGTAGTACTCAGCCCTGTCGCTTGCAAGAGGACATGACATTATTATTCTCTGAAGCCATAAAATACAACAGAGAAAACAATGTACCATACAGTGCTGTGGCACTATGAATGCATGGTTTCATTGTTCTCTGTACGAGTAATAACGGAATAAACCTAGCCAGAAATAGTAATTTGTAGCGCTAAGTCCTTCAGGCTCAGAGTGTTACATAGTATTTTGTAGTACTGAGTACTCTAAGCCAAACAACGCCCGGTACTCTTAGGGTTAAGGTGTGTACATTGTACATCTATGTTTACGTTACTGCTAGTGGGGATATTCTTTTATCTCTTTGTTTTCTGTAGTTCGACATATAACCTTAAATCCAAAATTCCTCGGAAAGTGCTTTTTTAAAGATGAGAAAACTTTGTGTGGACCTTACTTTAGTCCACAACATTTTTCGAAAACTACACTCATCCATTAGCATTGCATGCAAGCCGGAGTAGCAACAAGATAAGGGGGTTTCAAGAGGGTTAACAGCAGGAGGGTCCAACGGCCGAAGTTAATCTGGACTTCTCATGTGGTGGACCATGTACAGTGTACATGTACATCAAAATATTTACTGGCAACTCACCCACAAGGATCTTGCATGCCGGGTTGTCCACACCTACTGACTTCAAAATGGTTGCTCCATCATTTGTGACAATCAAGGGTCTGTTCTTATCAGGCGACTGAAGGATCTTGTCCTGCACGGAAGCAAAGCAGATTGGAAATGCAAAAACCGGAATTCCTCCAATAGAAAACAGAAGTCTGGGAAGAAGTTACAACTTCCTGCTGCCAGAATTGTCCATCTTTCATGTGTAACATTTACTTTAGTTTGTACAGGACTTTTCCTATAATCACAAAATTCAGTGCCAAGAAAGACTCATGATAAAAAGCAAAAGATAAAGAAACACAAACCACTGACAGGTCCCTGAGGTTGCCTTGTTCACTTCTGGGTTCCAAATATCTGTTTGGAATGTTATTTTGTCATATGTTCAATTCTCTTCAGATTTCTGCTTCCAACATCCTTAATTCTCCAAAATCTTCCACTGTGTAAGAACCAAATTGCAATTTCTCCACACATTAACTGTCTCAGGCAATGTATCAGCCCAAGTAAAGAAAGATTCACTGGGCGTTCTACCGGCTCAAAATGCCACAAAACCCCAGGTGGATTTGGCAGAATCTGGAGGGATTGGAACAATGTCTTGTCCAAGACTCAGGTGACTGGGTGACCAGTACCAATGACATGACTTACCATTCCTTTGGGTCCCAAGGTGCTCTTGATGAGGTCCCCTATGGCTATGGCTCCGACAAATGACGACATACGAGCCGTCTCTGCCTTCTCTTCCTCCGCATCCCGCTTCAGGATTTGAACAGGGGCCAGCTGAAACACAACAAAGGGACGCTGATGAAGTTACCAGAATATTGGCAAAATACACCGAAATCGAACAAAACTTCCACAAAGCGACATGGGGTGGGTACAATGTACACACACATGCACGCATTTACTGCTCTGTGGAGAAATCACGACCAGCATGCTCAGTGCTGGTTCCTGCCGCGCCGCTGACAAAGTAATAGCAAGAGTTGACAGGTGGGAGCCAGACTACAACTACGGATTCCACAAGCACGTACGTGTACAGTTCAGCCACTGTGGCATGGCCGGCAGCGGGGAAGTTGTCTGAACCTTTCAATGTCACCTCGAAATCTATCAAAATCTCTGATACATGTAAGTCACAAACTGGCAGTCTCTTCTAATGCATTTATTTCAATGGTTATTTTGATAAACATGTACTTTGTCATGGTTCACGAGGATGATTTTTGGTAAGACTGTGGCTGGCACAAACACTCAGTGGTCAGTACATGCATACCGTATGGCTGCCCATCCACCCACGGTCATGTCATGTTTTCGCATCCCTGCTGGGTCTCTTCACATGTAGTGTGGAACAGAGCATTTTCCTTTATATCTTCAGAAAATTTAATCATTCCCATTGATCTTTGGTAGTGACGTTCATTATATTAAGCCAAACTCTTTATTTTCGGCACATACATTCGCTTTTACACAGTATAGCCCATAACCTTGTAAGGAGAAATAAATTATGATGGTAACTTATAATTGTACACGTTTAGTTCAAACCCCAAAAAACTGTTCAGACTGAAATAAAAAAATTAGCTAGTCATTTTCCACTGTTGCACATCGAAACAATTTTGCACCATGGAGCTTCTCAAAAAGAACAAGCACATGTAAAACCCAATTATACAGTCAGGAAACATATCATACATCTCATTGTTTATTAGGCATTGCCCCCTCCCCTAGCAAAAGCAGAACAAAAAGTCAAGCCCCCTCCATGCCCTTCCTTGATAAAAAAAATGGAAAAAGCAAAAAAAAAAAAAATAACGTCATCATGATAACTAATACAGAAAACAGCGATTGGTTTTCACGACATACTGATTTAGGAAAAAATGGATATCGAACAGACCTAGTACAAGGCCCATATCTGCCCACTCTCTCATGCACGTGTAGTCGTCAGCAGCAGAGAATGCCACATTAGCTGATTTATCAGGGCCTACCTACTCGACCTAGTACTCACCTAGGCCTATCATGCCTATGTAAAATCTCAAATCATTGCAAATGCAATTATGATAATGAGATTACACTTTCATCATGTTCATGAGACATGAGGGCCTAAGCCTTACTTCAGTTAACATTTATGTTCGGCATTCTTGTTAATGACGATGACTATTATTATTATTTATAACTGCCTTTATAATAGACCCGTAAACAGGGCCCGACGAATACTCCTCCGTTGTATACTTGGCCCTGTCCCGATTAATAGGGACTTCTTTCAAAACGTTATCCGGGACATCCAGGGGCAAAACTAAACATCCGCTTAATTTTATGAGCTGAAATTGCACCAGTATGTTCACTACTTATGCTGTAAAAAATCCACTAGTTTCCAAATGTAATTGTAGAAAATTCGCCTTTTCCTCGTTTGGAGGAAAAAACGTTGCCTTTTTTGCCGTTTTCCCACTCCGTACGAATTTTCACCTGACTTGTACATTACACAGACTCCTTTGTATGGTTAAATAATGGTGCCCTGTACGAGAGCCTGTTTAGTTTGCACCCAGACTTCAGCACGTACGGATCTCCTTCAGATCTGCGAGAGTACCTGTCGATCTAAGTACTCGTAGAAAATTGCGGCTGTTTTGTGTTACAGCTAATACGCAATGCCCTTGGCTGGTTCTCTGTCCAGTCATACACTGTTTGCGGCAAATCTTTGGTAGTGCGGCTCGCTGTAACGTGACACAAAAGTGACGAAACAGCTGTCACTCTTGTGCAAGTGGGGCAAACTTTGTCCGAAGTGGGATAACGGCAAAAAAGCAACATTTTTTCATCCAAACGAGGAAAAGGCAAGTTTTCGACAATTAGCCACCTAGTGGATTTTTTACAGCGTAAGTAGTGAACATACCAGTGCACTTTCAGCACATGTTAGTTATGCCCCGTGATGTCGCGGATAAAGTTTTTGAAAAAAATCCCTATTAATCGGGACAGGGCCCAGTATACGACGGAGGAATATTTGTTTATCTGTTTACGGGTCTAAAGGCATGGTCTACCCTTACAACTGCCTTTAATAACTGCCGATCAGCAATGACAGGTCAAAATCACAGTTGTCCAATTACTGAGCAATACAGGGACTGGCTTCAGCATGTAGGCCTACATGTAGGCCAATGCCAGCCCAACCTGCGTCAGAGCCTAACGCCCAACATGTAGGCCTACCTGTATGATCAAAGAAGGACCCTAAGCCTACACGTACATACAGTAAGCCCATACTTGCTACACGTGAGCCGAATGGGTTGACAATTAAAAATCTTACGTTTAATTGACATATTTACAAGTGCTATTAGGAGGCTATAATCAATCGTACAATCACTCCCTTGTAGGTTATTAATGTCTCAAAATACAAACAAGGCTTACCATTGTGTTAACTTGTTAAGAACTGGTTCTATAATGAAAATGTTGAGCTCCAATTTAGCAGCTGATTCTAGAAAATTCGTCTACATGCACCTCTCCCTGCACGTGAAATTACATATAATTCGATACTTCCTACGTCGATTGATGTTGATATTTGATGGAATCGAAACAACTGTTTATATGAATAGACCTCGGCGAGACAATCAATTATCATTACATTGTACCGGTAAGTGTTAACCAAGATAAAATTGATTAGATCTATCTATTTGGGGGCGAATATTGGCCCAAAACGGAGAGTTAAAAGTATTTTATAAATGTTCAGTATTCGATTTGGTATCGACACTGCATCACCCTCCTAAGCGCTTTCCCTTCACAGAAAAATGCACGCTGTTTTCATTGCGAGGGCGCCCCCAACATCCACTGCTAGTGCGGTTCCCTGTGATTGCAGCAGACCTCAGTAATTGGTAATCTGACGAGGGCATTCCCAATAGTGTTTTTCTCCCCCCCCCCGGAACAATCCCGAAGACGCCCATCGGAGTAGACTTTCAAAGTACGGAAGTTTACAAACGAGAATGATTTTTTTTTAATTAAGAAAGATGCGCATTACAATTTTTATATAGGGCTAGGCCTATGTAAAGTCAAAGATTTGGGATTTTAATTAATAGATCTAACATAATGAAGTCAAATACTGCGGATTTTCATAGATGGATTTTTACAATAAAGATACAAAAATCTTCAGTTGATTAAATATTCAGTTGTGAGTAGTTGTTTGGCTTTTAAAGACCTGGTTTATACCACTGATCGAAGATTCTGTTTCGTTAATTGTGTGCGAGTGGTTCAGCTGCGCGCCACGATAAACCCACGATAAATTTGTAGCAAAATTCTATGGCTAAAAAAGTGATGAACTGTAAAGGAACAAACGTGCACGGGTTTTGGTGTCGATGTATCGATCTTTCAGAAATCCTACTTTTCCTTGTAGCCATATCGAGGAAACCTCTCGTGCGACTTTTCCTTTCTGTTCTGTTGCATGTTATGCAGTCATATAAAAACGAAATTAAGATGGAAAGCCTGCGGTAAA